AGGGGTGGGAGCCGGCCGCCGCCGGGTGCTGGGACAAGGGGCGTCTCGCCGGGCTGAGTTTCCCCATGGACTCCCATCGGGTTTGCTTGGTTTTGCTGTTAACACCTTGCGTCCTTGCAGCCGAGAGCCTCCCGGCTCGGGCTGCTCTCCAGGCGCCTGTTTGCCTGTGGAAGTCAAGCGAGGAGGCAGAATAAGAAGATGCCGTGTCCACCGGCGACCCGCAGGCGTAAGGACGCAGCGGGGGATTGCTGCCTGCCGAGGCAAATATAAGAAATATAACATACAGAAATTATAAAACGCTACCATATGCTTTGCCAAAAGCCTTTGAGAGGCACGTTAGCGAGCGCCCCGGCCGATGCCGATCCGTGGCGGTGCGGGACGGCGGCGGCCCGGCGGCAGCCCGTCCTGGTGGGGATGGAGAAGCCGGGTCCTCTTCGCAAGCCGGGGCAGGAGTTTAACCTGGAGAGACCCACGGGCTGTTCGTACGGGAAATAACCCTCTCAGATCGGCCCTGCAGGAAACATGTGGGGCCCGCTGGAAAAAAGTGCGGATCCTGCACATTTTTTTGCTTTTTCTACAGAGTCCAACTTTAGAAAGTTGGTTTTTTTGTTTGTTTTTTGTTTTTTTTTTTGTCTAAGTCTGCATTTCTTGTGTCAGTGTGGGACCTTTAGGATATGACGCATTTTTCCACGAAAGATCAGCCAGAGAGCGCGAGTGTATGTGGTGGTCCTTTCATCCGAGAACTTGAGATTCATAAAGAAACAACATTTTTTTTTCTTCCTGTTATGTATGGGTTAGATTGGCTGTCTTAGTAGTCTAGTCGACTGTTGAAATGTCCCTGTTCCTTGCTGCTGCTATGTTTTTTTTGCTAGCTGCTTGGTTTTGAATCTAGCTTTCCCTCTATGCTCTGTTTTTCTTTTTTTTTTCCTTCTGATCAGAGAAGCTGGAGGTGCTCGGGCTGGCTGGGGCCCTTCTGGTGTGTTTCTTCTCTAATGCAGCAGAACCTGGAGAGATGTGTTCTCTGCAACGTACCCTGTCTAATCTCGAAAGTCCACGGCAGAGAGGGCTTCCACTGAGAAATGGTTTAACTGTTGAACAGACCTCTCTGTTTGGCATTCTTCCTCTGCTCCGTGGCAAATCCGTTGCAGAGAACCTCCCCTCGTCTCTGGGATGAATTGGTCTCATTACGTCCCCACCTTCCTGTAATGGTTTTAATTCCTTCCTTTGGGTCATTCTCTTGCTCAATCCCTCCCCTTCCTTAGTGTTCGGAGCCTTTGGAGACCTCCTCATCCCATTAATGATGTCACTGTTGAGGCGAGTGATCCGCATTAGCTAATCTTGACCTTTCTAAACCATTTGATTTCTTCTGTGCAGTTCTGCCTTTCCTCTGATTAACCAAATGTGCCAACAGAGCAGCCTAACTGGATGGAGGAGGCACTGCACGCCCTGGATACCACGTAGTTCGCACTTGTGCGCTCTCTCGCACCTCAAGCTGTAGATGCCTGCCCAGTCTGGGGGTTCCCGTTGGTCATGGCTTGCTCAGTCAGGCGTAACCCTCCATGGTTGTCCGTACGGCTTTTTATCAAGCGGTCCCAGCATGCTGAATAGCTCAAGGTGAATTATCTTTGCTTGGAGGCACTGTCTGTCCTTCTTCCTCTGGCCAAAACTAATTTTATTTTCTTGCCCTCTCCTCAGGGCGCCCTTTTATGTTATTTTCCACACTTCCAAATTTATTAGCATCACCAGGATGAGCCTCCTTTTCTAGATCTTCCCAGTGAATGTTCAGTAAAAGCAGGTGAAGTCAATGGGACGCTAGTTAGTTTCTGTCCTTTCCTACCATCTTAGCACTGCTGTGTGACCATCCTTCTGGTGCTTTCACTTGTTCTTGCTCAACAGAGAGGTCAACAAAATCTATGATACCGACTGCATGTCCCCTTCCCCCGGTTCTGTAGTCAAAATGCTGTCTAGTTGGCATGGCATGGCATGGCACAGCACGGCAGCAGGGATGATCCTGTGCTTTTTGTCTTCCAAGGGTTCAGAGAGTTTTCCACATGCTTTCCTGGGGTACCTGAGCTGAATTAGCTGGTATTTGCTGCTTCTTTCCCTCTTTGGAAGATGACTCTGGACAACTGCTGCTCGTGGACAGCTTTGGGAGGACAGAAAGGGAGCAATTTGAGCAGAAAAGGTGGTAGCACCACGCTGTTGCTGGGTGGCACAGCCTAGGAGAGGAAGGCTTGTCAGTATTTGGGCCTCGTGGTTTGACCGCCTTTTGTGTTTGGGTGAGATGAGGGAGAACAAGGCTCTCTGGAGCTGCACGTGGCTGAGGAGATAAGCCCAGTCCATGCTCTGTCGTGCAGTATGGAGCTGGAGTCAGAGCGAGGGGGAGGAGTGCGGCCTGGCTGGAATACAGGACGCAGGGCAAATTCAGGAGAGGAAAATACAGAGGTTGGGGGAAAGGGAAGAGCAGAAAGTGAACCTAACCGAAAGAAGGTGATAGCTTCTTTGCGGGAGAAGGTGGCAGGCAAGAAGCAGTAGCCAGGAGTGTGAGGGAGGAGGGACTGGTGCTGTGCATGGACCAGGATAGCACTGAGGCTTGTGACCCGGAGATAACTGGCAGCAGGTTAATCTGTAGTGCAGTGCGTGTGGCCTGCTGAGTGGCTGGACATGATAGAAAGCTCCTGTGCGTGCAAGGCTTGATCGCGCTCCCGCTAACTTCAAATGGCAGGTGACCACGTGAGGACAGCTCAATGCATGAAGGAAGGGGGATGCACGTGCTCTAGGCAACACTATGATTGCAGTGCCCTACCCTGCAGGCACTCAAGCCTACGTTTTCCTCTTGCAAGATGCCAGCAGCTGCAAAGCCTACTAAATTCGTCAGCCTCTTCCAGGGTCTGTGTTAGTCTGCTCACAGGTGACAAAGTCCTACTGAGCACTGGGGAACAGTGTCCTGGGTGACTCTTCTGGTTTCCTCTCTTACATCTTTACAGCCATGGAAACTAAGAAATAGGGCTTTAGCTGAGCTCAATGGGAATACAGTATTTTAGACAGTTCTGTCTTTGGACTTTGGTGGGAAACTAGTAAGTTAAAAATGGAGTTTTCCCCTCTGAAGCAGGGGTTTGGGGAGAGGAGGGCTGGGTTTGCAGTGGAGGGGATTAGGGCCTGTATATTGCTAGGGAATGAGAGTGTGGTACTGTCTTTTTCTTGCTACTTCCCTTCAGTTGGGGAAGCAGTGTCTTTGAACTTGTGTGATTCTTAAAGATCCCAGGATAGGAGTAGAGATTTCCCCCAGAGTCTTTATTTTAGACCATAATCTCTTCTGTTGCTGGTCTGGAAGCAATCCATGCCAAAAGGGTGAAACACTTCAGTAGGGAGGCAGTGCCTGCATGCAGGGTAAAGGAACTGGTGCTGCTGGCCACAAAGCAGGTCCTCGAAGCCAGCCCTGCCTTCTTCATATACCATCACCCTCCCAGCCTCACTTCGGTGCCTGTGAGAGGCTGGAGGTGGATGTGCTGTGAGTGTTAGAGGAGGGCTGTGAATCGCCCCCATATAAAGTTTCACTGTGCTGGTACCCCACAGCCAGGCCAGTTTTGAGGAAGACGGCCAGAAGCAACCAGCCGTGGGACGCTGGAAGCCACTGATGCCATCCAAAGGCAGCAAGGAGGAGCCAGAGAGTGGATGCCAGGATGCTGGAGGTGCGGATGAGACCCAGTCCACCGAGCAGCTCAATGTGTCACGTCTACGCAGCTCTTCAGTGGAGATCCGTGAAAAGGGGTCTGAATTCCTGAAGGAAGAGCTGCACAAAGCACAAAAGGTAAGGCCCAGAGTTTGTGAGAGCACCTGAGGATGGCAGCACAGATTTGAGCAGTGGGGGTTTTCCTAGAGGTGGTGCTGAGGGAAGCAGGGTCTGAATGTGGCTGTGCCGCAGTCTGGAGCCGGCAGAAGAGGAGAGAGATTGAGCTGAGGTGGCCATAAAGTGCTTTGGAGCCGGACATCGGTTGCTAGGTTGACCCAAAGCCTCCGTGCCAACATCCAAATTAGTCCTGGAAACCTGCTGCAGAAAGCGTCTTGAGGCAGGCAGTGCTTACTATGGAGCCTCCTTGCTAATGGCAAATGAGCAATTCCAGCCTCAAAAGTCTGCTACAACTTGTGGAGGGATGCCTTTGGTGACATGGAGCGTGGTACAGGGTTTAGCGACAGGAGTCTTGGGCCGGGGATCCATGCCGTGGTGGGGAGGGAAGGTTGTGACTGACAGATGGGGGTAAGCAGGCATCAGCACTACTGGGGCCTCCTATGAGCTCATGTGTCCCTCTCTGTTTCCTAAACAGGAGCTGAAGCTGAAGGACAAAGAATGTGAGAGATTGTCAAAAGTCAGAGAACAACTGGAGCAGGAACTAGAGGAGTTAACAGCTAGCCTTTTTGAGGTACCACCCTCTTCCTTTTCCCATCATTTCTTAAGCTAAGCTTACATCCAACTCCTTTAAGACAGGCTTTCCCTGAACTTCCAGCCATCTCCTCCCATGGTTTCCTTCTTTCCCCTGTTGTTCTTTCCCACTTGGAGAAGCAGAGCTGGGCAGCGCTACAGGCGCTCGCAGCTTCAGAGCAGGGGCTTGTACCTGCTCCTGGGGAGCATTTGCATGCATTTCTTTCCCCTTCTGGCAGCTGTGGGGTGGCGTAAAGAGCACAGTGGTTCCGGGTCTGTACATCTGGTAGCAAAAACAGATGTGGGGATGCCTGTAGCTGGAGCTAAGCATAGCTCCTTGTCCCTCTCCCGTGTCTGCTCTGTAGTCTGGACAGCAGCTGCTGTGTAATAGAGATGATTCCCTGGCTCGTGTCAGCCCTTGCTTGGGGTGGGAGCAAGCTGGTTGTCCTCATATACTGTGCTCAACTGAGTGTTCAGAAGGCCTGTTGGTTGTTTTTTTTTTTTGTAATGTGATTCTTGCCAAGCTCTATCCTGGCAAAAATCCCATTTACCAGCAGCTCTAATGTCTGGATTTGACTGGGCAGTGAGGAAAGCCAGAGCCCATCTGTACCTTTGAAACACAAGCTGGTGCTGAGTGTGAGGGCCAAGAGAGCATCCCCCTCCTGGAGATTTGGCTGCCTGGGCTCAAGGCGAACTTAGAGATCTAGTAGTTGAGGGCTGTCCCCTTCCTTTGGTGGCCTTGGACAGACCGCTTCCAGACAGCACTGCGGGAGGCCTCAGCTGCGGGGAAAAAAAAAGAATCCCTGGCTCGTGTCCAGCCCTTGCTTGGGGGGGGAGCAAGTTGGTGGCCCCAAAAAACGGGCTTAAACTGAGTGTTAAAAGGGCCTGTGGGTTTTTTTTTTTTTTGTAATGTGATTCTTGCCAAGCTCTATCCTGGCAAAAATCCCATTTACCAGCAGCTCTAATGTCTGGATTTGACTGGGCAGTGAGGAAAGCCAGAGCCCATCTGTACCTTTGAAACACAAGCTGGTGCTGAGTGTGAGGGCCAAGAGAGCATCCCCCTCCTGGAGATTTGGCTGCCTGGGCTCAAGGCGAACTTAGAGATCTAGTAGTTGAGGGCTGTCCCCTTCCTTTGGTGGCCTTGGACAGACCGCTTCCAGACAGCACTGCGGGAGGCCTCAGCTGGGACTCACACTGCTCCCCTCTTCCTGTGGGAGATGCTTTTAAGCTAGCCTCCACCATTTGGCCCCCACCTGAGCTACAGCTCCTGCTGTGTTGCATCCATGCCCAGCGCGGTGAGGGCTCGCTGCTCCTCAAGGGAAGTGGGAGCCAAGTGCAATAACAAGTCAGGCGAGAGCAGTGACCTCACCAGCGAGGAGCCAAGACGTGGAACAGCAAGTCTGGATCAGGATCTGTGCCACAGACAGCAGTCAGGGCCAGAAAACAGCCCAGTGATTAACCAGCAAGTCTGCAGTGACAATGCAGGCCTGAGGTCAAGTCAGGAAGCCAAGCTACTGAGTCTGAGTCAAGGTCAGAGTCGCAGAGGTGTTGGACTGGGCACAGACACAGCTGCTACACAGCTGTGATGTAGCACAGGTGGGTGCTAATGTTAAAGCCTCAGTTTTAAAGCAATTCCCAAGGGCAAGGAGGGGCAGGCACTTCTAGCTTTCTTCACAGCAGCCCATAGCAGTGAAAGAGGTGACCTTGGACTCAGCCAGCTGGACTCTTTAATTTAGCCAAGTACACTCCTAGAAGGGGGATGCACTCCAGGCTCTGGCACTGAGAGCCTTCTCTGGGAAATTCCGGGGGAAGGCATTTCACAGCTGACAGAGTAAAACCCTTGGATGTAGCAGTGATGTCTGTCCCCCTGCTTGCTTGCCCAGAGCATGCGATATGGCAGAGCTTTGGCCTGCTCTGGTGGCTTTACGAGTTGGGGCTGCAACAGGCAGACTAAAATTCTCTCTGGTCCAGGAAGCGCACAAGATGGTGAGAGAAGCAAACACTAAGCAGGCGGCGTCAGAGAAACAGCTGAGGGAGGCACGGGGGAAGGTGAGAACTGTACTCTCTGTGACTTGATCCCTGTGCCAGGTTGGTGCCATCTCTGCCCAGCCTGGCCGTGGTGCTGCTTGTTGGCTGGAGGAGAGTAAAGTGCCTGCAGCTCGATCTCTCCGAGATGCTGCAGTTGCTCTGTTCCCTCTCCAGCATACAGTGAGGGGGAAAAGGCATCCTTGCAGTCCGCTGCTGATCCAGCTCCTCTTTGAGAAATGGATGCCAGGGGAACCACAGAGAAGTGATACGCTGTTTAATTGCCACAGCTGTGGGGATGGATAGAGCAGGGAGCTGGGGAGTTGGAATTTCCTGACAAGGCTGCATCACAGGGCTGCTCAACTGGTTCCTTTATGAGGAGAGAGAAATTTCTTCTGGGTTATTGGGTCTATAAAGAGCCTGGGGCAAAACGTGCTCAGACTGAAGAGCAGAGGGATGGGTTCCCAAATAGCTGCTGTTTAGTCCTGTTTAAAATTCTGGGTGATGGTGGGCATTTGGGAGAATGGGGAGAAGGCTTCATGACTGGGCTTGTAGCTGGTTCCCTGTGGCTTTAGTGTTTGGTGGGGTGCAGCAAGCTCAAGCTCAGAAGGTGCTGTTGACTCTTGCCTTGTCTCCTCAGATCGACATGCTGCAAGCAGAGGTAACAGCTCTGAAGACGCTGGTGATCACATCCACACCTTCCTCGCCAAACCGGGAGCTGCACCCTCAGCTCCAGAGCCCTTCTAAAGCTGTCTTCAGGAAGGGCCATGGGCGAAACAAAAGCACCAGCAGCGCAATGGTCTCAGCTGCCAGCCAGAATGTGACTCCAGAGCCAGTCAGCCATGAGTGCAAAGAGGTGGGTGAGGGCCATTCACTGCATCGGCCTTGGAGCCACTGCTGTCACTGGGCTCAGGGAGCTGTGCGGCTTCCGAGTTGGGCTTCCTGGAGAGCTCTGTGGTTTCAGTGGTGGGAGAAGCTGTTTGTGCAGTAGTGGCTTGTTCCCTAAATTTGTGCTGAGGCAGGCTCTGGAGGGTTTCCATTTGTGGAGATTTCCTCTTCTGGGAAGCGTGTTGAAGGCTGCGTCAGGACAGCTGAGGGATCCCTGGAGGGCATGGACAGATCCAGGAGTTACCAGTGCCGAGAGGGGATATGTCAGGAGCTGCTGAGCAGAAGCCAGTTGTTTGCTGCGTCTTGGCAGTTGAGTCCACTACCTGTTCTGGCGTGATTTGCTGTTGCTTCTTCTCCCTGCCTAGTCTGGCTTGGACACCAGGACACGTCCATCAACTTGTGGTCTCTGTCACTTGTTCTGTATTCTTGAGCATGTTCTTCCTCTTCTTTGCAGAACGTTAATTAATAATATTTAATTCCTTCCTCACTGGAAGGAACTGGGCAGAGAAGCATACAAAGCATTTGTGAATATCTTTCAAACAAACCCTGTTTAATTCCTTTCGGTGATCCTTTGATAGTCCCCCACCTGCTGTGACCATGGGTGTAAGTAACGCTTCTTCCTGTGAGCAGGACCTTTCCGTCTGGGAACTTTCCACTAGCCAGATGTGTACACAGCTGTCCTGGGAAGCAAAAAGGAGGCGGCTTATGGCGCTTGGTCAGGAAGAAGGAAAATGAGAATGTGGTGGGGGAATATGTCTCCCTAGTGATTTTTTGGGAGCTGTGGCTTCTGTCATGACGAATTGTGGAGGGAACACGAAGGCACTTGGTCACTTGGCTTGTGTGAGAACATATGCAGAAGGGCCGCTTGTGAAATTAATACCCTCACCAAACAGGACTGTGCTGGCAACACTGGTAATGTCTGCTTTTGGCAGTGGATTCAATGAATGTGCCTTGTCAGCTTCCGCGCAGTGCTCTTGTTGCTAGAGTTTGGATTAAATGCTGCAGGCAACGTCAGCTGTAGCCGTTGTCCTGAGACAGCAATAGCAACGACAGATGAAGATCTTTAACTCTGTTCACAGGCAGAGAGGAACAAAGGCTATGTTAGAAAGAAAGCCAAAGGAAAAAAATCAGTTCAGTAGCTGTGAAGCCCTGATGCCCTGGTTTCTCTTGGTCAAGCAGGGAACAGTCCAGATATGCTGGAAGTTGGAGTCAAATGCAGTCAGCTAGAAGCTGCTTTGAAGGCTAGGAAAAAAAAGGTTTTAATCTTTTTAAGGTCCTGTGACCTCTCCCGATGCTAACCATTCCTCCAGTCAAAACAGAGGAGCTCCAAACTGAGAGCCCAGTTCGGTGAACTACTGACTACCCTGTAGCAGTTGCCCTCTGCCTACAGTAAGCAGAGAGAACTTTTGCCCACTGGGTAGTTCATTTTGCTGTTCTTGGCTCAGCCTCAGCAAAGCTCATGTTGACAATCTTTAGAGAAACGCTGGCTCTTGTAAGTGACGTGCTTGTTAAAGATTTGGACCTCTCGTTTCTTTGTGCAGGTAGTTTCCACATGGTGCAGATATCCTGGGGCTTAAAATCCCAGGGCTACAGCTTCCAAAGCAACTAATAATTTTGTGTATCAAGGGTGGGATGTTCTTTTGTTAACTTGGTAATTTCCATCCCTCAAATTCCTTAGTGGGCTATGTGAGAGGTGGTCAAAGGGAACCCGGCATTCAGAGAATTGGTGCTTGGTGCTCTATGGAAAAAATGTGCCCCATCTTAAACTGAGCCTAAAAATGACAGAATTTCTGTTCCCTTTTTGCACCTCCAGCTGAAGTTAAAAGGTGTGGCTTGTGGCCCCGTGATGTCTCGAGCAGCACACTTATTTCCCTGGAAGGGAGGACTTGAGCCTTTCTTTGTATCTTCTGTCTTGTCTCATGTTTTTTACTTCCCTTTCTTGCTTGTCCCTCTAAACCTTTTCCTTCACTGTCTGTCTCTTCCTCTGCCCTCAAAGTCTGGGTTACCCGCTCTCCTCTCTCTGCTTCTTTGTATCATCCCTGGGAAGGCTATCCACATCACCTATGAACCAAGCTGGCAGGCCTTGGGGGCAGATGCTTCCTCATCCTTGCGGCAGGTAACCTTTCTGGACAGCACTGGGGAGGGGTGGGACCCATCCGCCTCTCATGCTTCCAGCCTTTCAGTTCTAGCTTCCTTTTATGCTAACCTCCATTTTTTTTGTTTTGTTTTGGTTTTGTGTTTTTCTCAATTTGTTTTTCCATCTTGTGGCTCTGAAGCTGTCTCCTGGTACCAGGTGAGCAGTCTCCGCAGCTTAGAGCGAGTGTGCTAGAAGGCAGACCTTTTTCAGCTTTGTTCACTTACGTTCTTTGTGTTGCTCAGCAGGGTTTCTTTAGTTTTGTTTTTCCTTTTGGTAGCTTTAATAGGATTTGCTGGCCTTTTAAGGAGATGGCCTGTCAGTCAGGTTGGTCGTTCCGCTAATGATCCATCTGGGGTTTCAATGTCAGGTCCCAGAGAGTCTCCAGGACTGAAGTATTTTCAGCCAGACAGGGATGGAGGGAGCAACCTTCCTGCTGGCTCAGGGCATGGGTCCTTTTCTGCTGAGCAGTGATAATGCTTGCGGGCCCACCTGTAAAAGGCAACAAGCAGACATTAGAATGGGGAAAGCTGTTCCTACTCTTTGAGTTCCCTCTGAGAGACCTCCTTTCCTACAATCAGCTTGCCTCTGCAAGCCTGTGTGGCTGCCCAGTGTTCCCATTACTTCTGTGACTCCCCAAACACCAGAGTCCTGGGCTTGGAGTGGTCTTTGAAGGGCTGGCATACCCTGTGAGCTCATACTTGGGCTCACTGAATGTAGTCCTGCTGATGGCTGTTTATTAGTAGCTTTTTCCAATTCATCCTTTTCTGTAGCAATCCTTTCCTGCCTCCTGTGTCCTGGGTGCCATTGCCACTGTGCTTTGCCATTCAACTCCTCTCGTCATTCCTGCCATGGGCTGAGCGGGCGCTTGGTCTGTTCGATGGTTGTGTGGTGGCTTTCCTGCAGCAGAGGTGCTGCCCTGTCCTGGAGGAAGATGGGATAGAGAGGTGCCTGCAGGTTTTAGGCAGAATAAGCCCAGTATGGCTGTGTCAGTCTGGCACAGAACTGCTGGGTGGGAGATGAAAGATCCTTGGAGCAAGCCAGCTTCCCTCAGCCACTTCTGTGATGTCTGAGCCTTTCTAGATGCCAAAGCAGATGTTTCATAGTTAGGTTACCTGCACGGTAACAGATACCTTCTGATATGGTATCTCGCCCTCCACCCACCTTCCCTCTTCCTGCTCCTCTTGGACATTTGCTGCAGGTCGACTCCATTTTATTTGCTGAGTTCCAGGCCTGGAAGGAATCTCCAACTTTGGATAAATCCTGCTCCTTCCTGGACAGAATTTATCGAGAAGATGTAGGACCTTGTCTGGACTTCACTAAGCAGGAGGTGAGTGCTGGAAAAGGAGGACAAAAGCTGCACAGTCTGGCAGCACCAAAGTTGCACCTTTATGGTGGTGACCTTTGCACGTTCGTATCTGAACTCATTTCTCTTTGCTGCAGCTGTCGGAGCTGGTGCGAGTGGCTGTGGAGCAGAATACACTCACCATTGAGCCGGTTGCTTCCCAGACACTGCCTGTGGTGAAGGTGTCAGCAGAAGAGTGCGGTGGGCCGAAGTAAGGAACCGTGCTTATGCTCTCTTGTCCTCTCCTTGCTACTGGTCTTTTTGTACCATCTAGTGGAGTTTGGCCAGGCCTCGCTCAATCAGTTGAGTTGAACAGTTCAAAGGGCTCAGCTGAGTGTTCTCCTCGCCTATGACCAGTGGTAGTTCAGCTCAACTCTTTACATGAGAAGGACCTTATTGCTCTCTACAACTACCTGAAAGCAGGTTGTAGCGAGGTGGGGGTCGGCCTCTTCTCCCTAGTAACAAGTGATAGAACGAGAGGAAACGGCCTCAAGCTGCGCCAGGGGAGGTTTAGGTTAGACATTAGGAAAAACTTCACCGAGAGGGTGGTCAAGCATTGGCACAGGCTGGCCCCGAGTCTCCATCCCTGGAGGTGTTTAAAGAATGTATAGATATGGTGCTTGAAGACATGGTATAGATGGACTTGGCAGTGATAGGTTGACGATTGGACTCGATCTTAAGGGTCTTTTCCAACCTTGATGATTCTATGATTCTATGATTCTAAGGGGAATTAGCTCAGCTCAGCTGATGTACTGGAGTTGACTGTTTTGGGGGATAACCTAGTGACGCGTTAGTGCCCTTGGCTTGGGAGAGGTTTGTTTATTTTTTTCCCTTAAGGTAGCAACTTTAATGTTCTCTGAAGGCGTGTTTGCATAACCTAGGGTGAAAGGATTAAGTCAGAGCTGCATTATCTCATCTTCTTGCATCTTGTGAGGTTTAAGCTCCCCTTGCACTCCCAACCTTGCTGATGCACCAGGTGGATTTGAGCCTAGGTCAGAAGAGATCTCCTCTTGCTGCATATCACCTTCCCCACCTGATGCTGTCACCTTGCCATCAGAACTGGGGCTATGGATGCTGCCGAGCTTGCGTGACTGTATCTGATGTGACAGACAACTTGAGGTTGCCTCAAAGAAGAGGAGCGCTAGCAGGAGTGACATGATATTCCGGATGAAGATAGGGGATTTTATTCAGCTGTTGAATTTAAGTTCAGTCAGGGCTTGCTCTCTTTGTTCTTCCCTCCCTTACCTTCAAGCAGAGCAACTTGTAAGCGAAGGTGTTCCTGTAACAGTAAATGCTGCTGGCATGCAGTTTTCCTACCCCTCTCTCCTGCATTTTCTGTCATCTCTAGGCAAATTGTTCCATGAGTATGTGTCAGGCCTGTTCCAAGAACAACCCATCCTGTGTTTATCCTTACTGGTTTCCTTTTGATTTTTTTTTTATGTCTTCACAGTGGGTTCCGGTCACAAATTGTAACGTAAGTGAAGTGTTTATTTTTTAGTCAGTGATCAAAGATCTCTAATCCATTAACAAGTTACTAAACTTAGTGCAATTTAGCACCTTTGAGGCTAGAGCTGAACTAAGCTAACTTTTTAACTCTGTTTAATTTCCACCCAGACAGGATGGTAAGGAATCTTGCTATTGGCAATAAAGGACCCAAAAGGAATGTGTTCCCCTTTGTTTTCCAGATGCAAACCACTGATTTTTATGGCAACTTTGGACAGGCTGTGGGCCAGAAAGGAGAAAGCTGGGGTCCCTCCCCAGGCTGGGACCTGCCAGACCTACTTCTCTGTACCCTACTGTGCAGTTCTCAGTGCAACAGTTTGAGGAGTCTAGATGGGCAGGGACTGAGTTGGCCACGATGTGACATTGCCTGTATAGCATCAGGGTAAAATGCTGGCCAGGAGGTGCTGAAGACAACTGGCTTTCATGATGGCATGCCCAGCAAAGCACCCTGGGGTGCCTAGAGTGCTGAAGGGCAGGTGTCCAAATGCTGTGGTTTAGGTTACTTCTAGCTACAGCTGTGATAGCTGGGGTTACACCAAATGGTACCACCCAAGCCAAGAGTGACCAGCAGGAGTCTCTTTTTTCCCAGGGCACTGCAGTGCTCAAATTTAGGACCTCTTAAAAGTATCTCATTTACAAAGGTGTCAGTCATCCTGTACCTTCTGAGGATTTGTTCCCTGTAGGTTGTGTTAATATTTGGACAATGATTACTTCTCATTGCCTCTAAACACTTACAGCCCATGCTTCCATTCTTGGCTAATAATTGCCTTGATAGCAGTGGAAAGCAAGCACAGAGACATGCTCAGAGCTCTCTGAAACATCTGCTCCCACGTGTTGTCATCTTCCATGGCCCACCAAGCAATTTGTTGCAGCTGGGGAGTGATGTCCCCCTTCCCACCATGCAAGCACTAAGTCTCTGGGGAATGTGGTGATGACTATGCAGCAGAAAATTCTGCTTTGCTGCTTTCAGTGGTGATGAAGGAAGGGCAACTGGCTGGTGCTGGGAACCATTCGTCTTGCAAATAATGGAAGGAAATGGCAAGAAAACAGAGGCATGCTGCACCCTTGCTGGTTACATCTTTTGGTGGTCTTCCTGGGAGCTGAGCTGTCTTGAAAAGACTATTTTCTTCAGTCGGTCTGAAGTCTCCTTACAGTTGTGAAGCCAAGCATCTTCCCTGTCTGCACAAGAAGGGATTCTTAGGAACTGCACGCCTTATCCAAAGGCCCCTGGAGTCAGTACAAAGTCACTCCATGTGGCTTCAACTAGTGTAGGTCCGAATCAGGCCCAAATTAATGAATAGGAGCCTGGCATAAAGGCTGCGGTGTGGCTTGTTTTGAGTTCTCAGCCTGAGCAAATTCTGCTCAAATGCTGGATTTACCTGTTTTGAGGCCAGGTTTGGTCCCCAGCCAGCGTGTTTGCATCCCACCAGGAAAGCTGATACACCTCAGCAGAACGCCTTCAGCAAAAGCCTTGCCTGGAACATGGAGGAGATGTGCAGAGACCAGATGACTTTTGTTATGCTCTGCTCCAGCCTCACCTCTTTAATATTTTATGTGGTTTTATTTTGGGCTGTCTGCCAGGGAAAGGGTACAGCCTTGGTTTGCTTGGGCATGAAATAATTCATGGTTCCAGATATTTAGCCTGAGGTCTCCTAAACTTGCCATTTATCAAATCTTTCAAGGAGCAAAAGGCTCATATTTTCTTCATGCTGAACTGACACAGCGTCTGGCTTCTGAGCTCCCACTTCCACCTCTTGGGGATAGTCTTGGGGCTGTTGAATTGCTGTGCTCTGCTGTGCCGCCAGATTGCTGAAGGCTGAAGTGTTTTTTCTTTGTCTGCAGGAAATGTGCTCTGAGTGGCCTCCCCAGGACCTGCAAGCACCGCATCATGCTGGGCGATTCTGGGAATTACTACTACATTTCACCATCCTGCAGGGCCAGGGTGAGTCTTCCACCTTCCCAGGGTGCCTCCACCCTCCAAAATTGTTCCAAGCCCTGAGATGGAGGAGCTCTTGGGGGCTCTCAAACTGACAGAGACACAGAGGAGGGGCTTGAATTTGTTCCTGGAGTCGAGGTGACTCTTGGTCGATGACTAGGGTGCAGGTCTCCAGCCCTGCCTCGTGCTCTGGTGCTCTGCCTTATGTTTCTTCAGGCAAGTTGTCTTCAGCATGTTCGCTTTCCATGGAGTGATTCAGTACAGGGCTTTGATTGTTTTGCTTTATTATTATTTTTTAATTCTCCTTTGTAAAACACAGTAATTTTCTGCTCTTTAAATGCTGGCTCTTATTACTGTTCCAGTACAGATCAGTGACTCAAATGGTTATGAGAACAAGCTGTCCTTTCTTTGGAGGGAAGGGAGAAGGTGAATGATTTGTTAATGTTGCTGCTGGGGCTATGATTCAATAGAGCATTTTAGAAGTTTATTCTTTCCTGAGTTGCATATCAGAAGAGCTGATCCTGCAACATGTGACTTTCTGAGACAAAAAGTTGGTTTTGTGCATGGACTTAAGTTGACTAATTTTTGTCACTGGCACCGAAGTAATGTGTCATGAACACCCTTACCTCCCTGCACACACGCTTTCTGCACAAACCTTTGACTCCAAAGATCTTCATTCGGTCGGAGAACAGTGCTCTTTGAAGGAAGATCGTGGACTTTGCTGCCACATTAAGTAGTGATTACTTATGTCTCAAACCTGCAGTAGATTAGAGTTCTTCCACAGTGTGTCTCATGGATAGTGTAATATCTTGGGATGGGATTGCATATGCCCAGAATTTGGATTTTTTTTTTTTTTTTTTGCCAGCTTTCTTCCTATCTCTTTCCATCTGGTGGTACGTGGTACTATTTCTCAGGTGCCGAACACTAAGAGCTCTCCTGCTCTGCTGCTGGGTGCTGTGCAAAGCAAAGCAGTTCCGTAGCTGACTTTTTCTTTTTTCCCCCTCTCTCCCTCAGATCACAGCGGTGTGCAACTTTTTCACATACATTCGCTATATCCAGCAGGGCTTGGTGAGGCAGGATGGTAAGTGGGGATGGCAGCTGGCTGCGGTGGGGATGCCTTCTGTGGGCCGTTGGGAGGGATTAAGAGGGTCCTATTTAGCGTGGCAGGAATGGGGCCAGCTTGGGGTATCCCGAACTCCCTATGTCTTTTAGAAACAGTTAAATGACAAAAGAAAAGCATGAGCAGGAGGAACAGATGCACCTTTTCCTTGCTCATCAGCTTGTTGGGAGCTTTGCCCTGGGGTGGAGCTGGTAAGGGCTGACCTGAGGGGCCTGTCCTGCTGGACCCTCCAGCACGTCTGCTTCCCTCTCTTTGGGGATGAGCCTGGCTGGGCTGCACTGAGAGCACAGCGTAACAGGAGGTGGGGTCCAGCTGTGCCCTGCTTACTGATTTTTTGGTGGTTTTTTTTTTTCCTTCTCTTCCCCATACCCATTTTGCTTTGCAGTGGAGCTGATGTACTGGGAGGTCATGCGGCTCCGGAGAGAGATGTCTCTGGCCAAACTTGGGTTTTATCCCAGTGAGATGTAAGCAGACGCCTGAGCATGGAAGGAAACTGCTCCTGTATGAATGGCTTGTCAAACATAGTCTGCCGAACAGATGAATGCCGTGCCGCTCCTGCAGTGGGCCTTACTCCCCGCCCTCCCTCCACCTGAAGCTGATCAAGGAGCAAGAAGCACAAGTTCCACCTTCAGCTGTCCCACTTCTCCAACTGTGACTGGAACGCAGCTGCCAAGCTACCCCCTCGGAGCTGGGCTGGCCCTGGCGGCTCTGGGGTGGCCGTCTACAGACTGTCCTCTTTGGAGTCTCCTATATGCAGTGTATATCCATTTTTTTTAAACTTTTGTTTTTATATGCAGTCTGCTTTGGCATAGTCTGAGGCCAGCTCTGTGCAGGGCAGGAGTCCTGGACCTTCTTTGTAAGCAAGTCTTTCAGGACAGATGCTGGCTGTCTGTCCGTCTGTTCCACTCATTCTTTGGGGTGGAGGGTGCTGTGTCCAGCCACACACCTAGGTCCTGCCAACCACTTACTCCCCTCACGGCCCTGTAAATGCCAGAAGCACACAACAATCTTCTGGAGAGCCATGAACAGCCTGTTTCCAAGTACTTCCTTGCTCCTTTTAAAGGAGCCTGCACGAGAAGCTCTCTGCCAACCAACTCACGAAGCGGGATTTGTGTTTGTGCTTGCGATTTGGCACTGGGTAATCCCCAGGCTGGGGGAACAGCCGGAGCAGAGGCCGGAGCTGTGCACCTGGGGCCATCGGCAGAAGAAAGTGAGGAGGGAAACTGCATAACTCGCAGCTGGCTGCAGCGTGGCCGCAGTCTGCGGGATGTTTTCTCCTGGTCTAGAGAATCTGCTGCAGTTGTCACAGGCAGATGCAGACCTTCACAGGTGGTGCCCTGTGACAATCCTCAGTGCAGGAGTCCCCTGTGGTGTTCTTAGGTACAAACCTCACCCCCAGACAGACGCCTTTGAGCTGTTCCTGCCCTCAGGGTAGCTTTGGGCAGTACTGGCCCCACTGTTTAGATAGAAACCATGGTCCCAGGCTGAGTTCTTTGTCTCCAGAAGGAGCGTGCGCAGGCTGGGTGCAGTCTTGAGGCCCTGAGATTTCCTCCCCGGTATTGCAGCAGACCTAGAGATGCATGTCCACTGGGAAACGCCGCTTCTTCTGGGCTGCCGTCCCCAGTGAGGAGATTTGAGACATCTTTGTGTGCACATGAGGGATGTGGCTGCAGTTCCTGTATGCCTCAGATGTGCTGGGAAGGATGTCACTAAAGCTGCTGTGAAGCGGAGGTGCTCTACAGCTTGAGCTCAGGCCCAGGTTTGTACAGAACTGCGTTAAAGCCATGACAGTGTTTTGTAGCCAGTTTAGCCTTTTTTTTCAGTGACTGTGGAATCAGCTCAGCCACCACCCACCCTGGGGGTTTCATCTCACGTTGGCATTTCTGCACGCTTGACTGGCATGTCACCCTGTCCCTCTGCCATCATCATAACCCCCATCTGAGCAAGTTGTGCCCAGAACCGGATCACCATCCTCAGCTCCATTAAGTTTCATCCTCTCCTAAGAGGTGCTACAGTAGGAGCTCTGTATCTTCCGTGGAAGAAAACCGAGCTGCTCTGTTTTTGTCCAGGGGAGGGAGGAATAGGGAAGGCAAAAGTTTTGGTTTGGAACCTAATATGAAGACAGCTTCACAGCAGATCTGAGGAAACCTTCCTGTAGAAGATGCCCATGAGCACAAGCTTTCCTGTCACTGAGCACACTCACAGTATGCTGCCGAGTTGCTCCTCAGGGGACTCCTTTCCTTATAGCTATCCTGGCATGTGGTATTGTTTGCCAAGGTTTAGTAGCTATGTGAAACGTGAGTTGTCATCCCCAGAGCTGGGAGAACACCTTCCTGACAATACATACCAGCTTTGCACCCACCTCCCTCAGCTCAGACAGGGCTGACCTCCACGGCCGAGTTGTTACCACCCCAGTTCTGCTTTTGCTTCCCGCAGCTGAGTGCCCCAGCTCGTGCTGCTCACCCTAGCTAGGTGAGTGCGTAAATCTACTCTTCACCAAAGGAATATCTTTCAAATGTGGAGTAAAAGCCTGGAAAATACATCTTTGGGTGAGAGTCTGGCTGGGTCTTGAGCTAGCGATAAACCTGCATCTCTTTTGGTGCTGTCTGCAGACTTGTGGCAATTTGACATCAGCTTTTCTAGAGGAGAAAATAGAATTGTTTTTTTTTCCCAGCTGCAGATTTCAGCTCAGATAAATTCTGTCCCTGCCAGCTTCTCCTTGTGTCTGTTCCCCCTGACCTTCTGATCTCTACAAGTCATCCTGGGCCATTAGCTGCTACGTTGCACAACAGTCGTGGCTGCACTGCGGCACTGGGAATGAGGTGATCTCTCTATGTAGGAGACATTTGGGTTTGTGGGATTTTTTTTTCCCCCAGTGTCACTTTGTAAAGCACTTTGAGATGAAAGGAATTGGAGAAATGCATTGTATGAGGTTGTCTTACGTTTAAAACAAAGCAGAGAGAACAATTGGTAAATTAATATGAAGTCACTCCGTTAACAGCGGGTTGGTTGCACCCTGCTCTTTAATAAAGGAAAATAAACATTAGTTATTAACCTCTTTAAAGGTCTGGTTGCCGTTCTAGGGTTGGGTTGTTTGGGGCACGTGTGCTCGGTAGCCAAGAGAAAAACCAAAGCTTGGCTGGCATTGCGCTCTGTGCTTCTCTTGCCGCCGCGTGTCCTAAGGGACTGGGCTTCTAGTGCTTTTCTTCCTCAGCCTGCTCCTGCTGTAGCTGGCTGCTCCTGACTTCGCCAGGGACCCAGGGACAGTGGTTTGGCAGCAAACGGAGTTTTATCCCAGGTTTTTCTCGTGACAAGGCAGGCCTGCGTGGTTCTCGCTGAGCGAGGCTGAGGTCTCTCCCAGCTCAGCCGTGGTCCGGTTCAGTTTACCGGCTCGTGGGATAACGCTGGCTGTCCCGAAGGCTGGTTAATTCAAGGATCTTCCTCCTCCTTTCCTTGCAGGGCTGAGCAGTCTCCTGCTTTCCTTATCAGGTGGAGGCAGAACTGTGGTGGGAACCTTTCAGAAGCTGCCAGTGCCAATGGTCCCTTCGTGGTGCAGAGTGAACGTTTCTCTTTTCTGGAGGCTTTTGGATCACGGACTCTTTGGCAGGTCTTCCCTTGGCTGCACGGGGGCCTGGGGCTTTGGACGCAAAGGCAGGAGCTGGCAAGCATGAGCTGTAGCAGCACTGGGGACTGAACTTGCTCCTGCTGTTCAGGTAATTCACCCTGCTTTTAGCTGCAACTTGGTTTGAAAAAGGCTGCCTTTCCTTGGTAGATCCAGCTCCTGCAGGCCCTTCCTTGTCCTTTAAAGGAGTCTCCCCGGCCCCAGCCCATGTGCAGCTCTCTGTGCCACAGCAGAGGCAAGCAGAAGGCAGCGATGCCCGCTGGTGGTGGGCGCAGCGCGCGCCGGCCCTGCCGCCGCAGCAGCTCTCAGACTCTGCAGGTTGGGAAGCTGGGTCGCTCTGGCTTCGCTAAAATGATTTGCTCTCCTGCCTTTAGCTGTGGATGTTAACATGGAAGATCTCTTGTCATCATCTCTTGGTGATGGCAGCGGAGGGGAAAAAGCAAAACATCAAAGACCTTTGGGAAACGAAACAGAAACGAATGCCAGAGCGGAAAACAGCATTAGACCTCATGGTAGTAGCGGTTCTGGGATCTGGGGCTGCTCTTTCCAGTAAAGGTAAACTTCCATGAGGATGAGGAAGAGAAAGACTGGCCCCAGGGAACCTTGTGTCTCACCCCAGGGTGAGTGCGCGGTGCCGGGGTTCTCCCCAGCGTGGGGCAACGAACCGCTGAGCCCCCACGGCCTTCCTCTGGGTTTGCGCTTGATGCAGGGTGGTCAGGCCTTCGCTGTTTTTCCTGTTGGCCTGCAAGCCTGAGAGCCAGTCACTGGCACTCAGTGTGACAGAAACATCGCCACGACCTTCTCCACGCTGTGTTTAAAGCCAGGAGCTGTGGTCCTGTATCCTCCCTACCCAGAGTGCCTGGAGTCACTCTTAGCCAGGCCCCCAAATCTCCCTGTCATCCCTTTCCATTCCGGTGTAAATGTGGGCATTGCCTCCCTCCGATGGGATGAGTGGTCCCTCACTGCTGCGCTCAGATTTCCCTGGTCAGTGAGGGTGCGTAAAATTTTCCCTGGCTGGATTCGCACTCGTTGGCATCTGCCATTGCGGGAGGGAGCGACGGCACTGGAGGCGGCTCAGTTTCGACAAGCGCCCAGAGGAAGGGGCTGCCACCTCTGGGATGTGGAGAACCCCAACAGATAACAGCTTACCCAAAGGTCCTCTGCCTTTTTCTAAAATGATGTTATCATTTTTCACATGGTGTTACTATTTTATAGGACACGTCATCTGGGCATGGAGAAGGGAACCAAGTGGCTATCGCAAAGCAGGAACGGAGCTGGTGGTGTCTGCCCGTCCTGCTCGTGCCCTCCGTGCCAGAGCAGGGGTGTGAGCGGAGGGGAGCTGCCAGGAGAGCCAGACCAAATTCCCCTGGATAGATGGATGGGGGCTTCAAGGAGGAGACGGCAGGCAGCCAACAGCAGATAGGATGGAGTAATCAGAAGGGCTGTCCTCCTGCCAAACTCAAAGCTGTGTCTGCGCGTCCCTTCCCTGGTGGCTCCGGCATGGGCTGTGCTCAGGTGACTGTAAAGCGGCTTTGGGCTTTTCAGCTCCTCAGCTGCGTTACGCAGCTAAATTTTGAATTGAGAGCTGTCTCCAGAGTGGGATATCAATTTTAATATTTTTTTTTTTAGGATCCTACAGAGTCTGTATTAGAAAGTAATACAGAAATTTTCGTTCTTTGCAAGAGTTGCCTCTCTTTTTCCCCGGAGGTTTGCTCCGACCCTGTGCAGCGTGGTCAGGCAGCCACAAGAGGGCACAGGCAGACCAGGCAGGGCCTGTCCTCCTGCCCTGTCCGCCGGGCCACAACGGAGCATCTCCAGGCTCCCACTTTGCTTCTCCTCCTGCCTCTGTGAAGGCATCACACCGGGCTGCCCTGTCCTCTGCAGCCTCTGGGCAGGTGTATTTCTGCAGCCTTCCTCTGCTGCTGGCCATGGGAATTGGTGTTAGATGGGTGCTGTTCTCCTTAGGCAACGGGAGGGTAAGCCTGGGACGTGGAATGGAAAGGAAGGATTTGGAGTTCTTCAAGGTTAAGCCTGAGGAACGTTGCCAAGCAATGAGGACGG